ACAATTTTAAATAATCTTCACAGGCATTTTAGTAGTTCGATTCAGATTCGGGTTGAGTTCCTGGTCTCAGAAGTCAATAAAATGTTTAAATGTAAAATAATTACTGAGGGGGGGGGGGTTAGTAAAATACTTTTTTTATTATATCAATATATAAATCACATTCGTATATCCACCCGTTTTAATGGAATTCAAAAATCTGGGCGAGATTTTAACAAAAAAAATTACAGACCTGGGCCAAGTCTAATTTCCTTTTCAAAACTTAGGATGAGCCTATTTTTTCTAAATAAATGAATTTTATCACTTAACCATTTAGAAAATCATGAAATGAATTATTTAACATTGATTTTCTGTTCATATTTCAATTTACGACCAATTTCGAACTATGTTTAGAAGTTTTATAACTTCTTTCTAATATATAAAAAAATTAACTATCAAAATTATATGTCACTTCCTCACGGTAGGAGCAATTTTATGACTCCAAATTGGAGTGAAGTCAATTTTTACGACTTGTCTTGGGCGTGTAGTCAAAAACCCAATCTTTCAGCGACACAAGTTGTATTAAATCAAAAACGAATTATAATATAAAAATTAATGAATTTCATATATTTTATCTAGCTATATTCAGTATTCCATAAAGAAATTTTAACATTTTATGGAGAATAAATAATCTTTCGAGAAGGTTTAAAAATATATTAAAAATAGAATTTAACTCGGATAAAACTATAATAAAATTTTTAATTAAATATAAAAGACCATCAAAATAAAATTAAAAGTATTCTGCATTTTTTACAAATTAAATAGCTTAGCTTAGGATATAAATTTTTAAAAAGTATCTAGGATATAGATGCAAGATACTATTTTAAAAAAACAAGCAAAGAAATAAATAACGATTTACGACATTAACCTACTGACAAACGCGGTAACTAACAAATAATACAAGTAAATGGTGATAAACGTCCATAGATGCAGAGCAGCATAGCTTCTTTTGTAATTTTTGATTATTACTTTATTAAGTAAAAAATTTATATTATTTTTGCTATGAAGAAAATGCGGGATGCAAATTTAAAATTGCTTGAAAGGATCATACTCATACTCTCTTAATTTGGTGTATTTTTTTTATTACGTTGTTGTGTCCAAAATATCAAAAAATGTAATTTACCCCACTTTCGAAACTTTAATGAAAATAAATAAATAACCTATTTTAAATATAAAAATAAAACATATCCAATATATTATTCTAGAAAATTTTATAATTTAAAAAATTTAACATATGATTTCATTAAAATTTTATAATTTGAGAAAATTTTGAAACTTTGAATTTTTAAAAAAGATTTTGGACATAGCGTAATAAAAAATAAAAATTGGGAAACCAAACATAAAATTGCTATTTTAAGAAATAAATAAGGAAAAAATCATACGAATATATTATGTAATTTTAAAAAATAAACGTTGTAGTAGCAAATAAAAAAATGCTTATGCATAAATAAATGAAAAAGAAATTTTTTTATACTTTATTTATATTCTTATCCTTTATTTTAAAATAAAAAATTTCTTCATTTTTAAAAACAATAATTAATTTTAAATGTCCAATAATTACAATTGTGTTGTTGAAAATCAGTGGCGTAGAGAAATGGGGAAGGGGGTTTGGAGTTGAACCCAACCCCCAAAACCTCCGAAATTTTTTTTTTTATTGCGAATAATTTTATTTAAAAAATGGTTTTAATTTATAAATAAAATTATATACCATATGAAAAAGAAATATATTTAATAAAACAAATAAGAATTTTTAATTTAAAATGATTACATGGTTTAAAAATACATATTAAAAATTATATGTAAAATCTTAAATAACAATAAAAATATATTGTAAATTTTTTCTCGCATAGTTAAATTAGATATTTATAAATTTAATAATAAAATTTATATTGTTAAACTAATTAGATAGTTTTAAAAATTTTAATTAATTTTTTTATAATTTTTAAATAAAAGAAAAATCATTTAATTTTGGTAAATATAATGAGAAAATGCTATTATGTTTGGGATTAAAAATTTTGAACCTAGAGTAGTTTCTCGATAGTTCAATCGCTTAAGAGGATTTTTATAAAATAAATATTTTTACTCACCTTATTGACACATTTTTATTTTAATTAAAGGAAAGATTAATTAGTCACAATTTTATTTTTAACAGCTTTTATTTTCTTTTGCCGGTTGAGTCTAAATACACTTAAAACGCGAGAGGATATTAAGAAATCTCAGAGTTTTATTCTGATGAATTATCAGGATAGTGATGTAGAATTTTGGTATAAAAATTTTGACAGAATAGAGTACCTTTGAGACCAAAATATGCTTTGTAAGCCTTTCCATGTATAATTGCACTTTAGATTCCCTGCTTAATATATTTATTTTAGCTACCTTACCGATTAGCACCTGCACTAATGAAAGGTCTTTTTCAACTTTGAAAAGGTTAAAAACCTATTTAAGAAATACCGGTGAGAGCCGTTTAAATGGATATGCAATATTAAATATTTATAAGGATATTCTAGATAAAAATTTGATTCTAGATGAATTAGTCAAATCTCAGAGAAAAGTAGAATTCTCTTTATAAATTCAAATTATAAAATTGCTATATTATTATAATATGATCTTAGTCATAAAATTTTTATATTCAAAACGTAATTATAATGAATTCTTAGTCATACTATTTATATATTATACTATTTTTAATAAAAATATTGCATTTGCACTAAGAATTAGTGATCTGCATCGGGCCTAATTTTTCAAGCCCGGCCCTGCCCGAAATTATTTTAAAAAAGTTTTGCCGGCCCGAACACGAAATTTTTTTGAAAAAGTTTGTTCGGCCTGGCCCAAATTTATTTATATAGAAATTCATTTTTATAATTACTCAAAATATATGTCGTCTCGTTTTTATAAATAAAATCAAATATTTTTATTTTACATAAAAAATTTAATATAAAATTGATATATTTAAATATATTTTAAAAAAATTTCAAAGCCCGACCCAAACCGGCCCAAATTTTTCTAAAAATATTAGGCTCGACCCAGCCCGAACCGGATATTCCTACTTTTGCGGATCTCTAATAAGAATTATTTATGTTTTATTAATATACTCATTTTTATTGATTATAATAATTGTTAAATTAGATTTTTTTTAAATACCGCACAAGAATTACTCATTTTTGTAATTCTATTTTTTTTTTAAATATAGTTATTTAGAATAAATTTTTAATATAATCTGTATAAAATTTATACATTTTGAAATTTATTTTATTGTATAATAATAAATAAAATCTATAATGAAATTCTCTGCAAAATTTTGTTATATGCAAAAATTTTTAAAATAATTATTTTTTACATAGAATAAGATATATTGAGTGATCATAAAAAATGGGAGGTTTGAGGGGCGATTTTACTCTTCTTTCTACACCGATTGGATTGAATTAACAATTGACTAAACATTGATAAAATTTTCAGAATAATGCTTTCAGTGGCGCATTAATCATAAATTTGGCCAAATTTTTTTAATAATATTTTTTTCATTTATGCTGGCTACTATAGTGGTTAGACACTAATAAAGCACAAAAGATTGGCCAATTTTAAAAATAAGGTTTGGAAGCGAAGCCCCCCCCCCCCCCTCCTAAATTTTTTTTTTAGAACCTCCCCCATCCCCATGGATCAATTCTAGCTACGCCACTGTTGAAAATTAATTTAGAATGTAATTTAGCTGATGAAATAATATGAAAAAATTGATTATTAAAAAAAGGAAAACCAATTTTACAAAACTTGAACAAAAGAAACCAAAATTGCATTCGTAATTTTTTTTATCGATAATGAAAAATATGAGTAGCTAACTAGATGTAAATTTTCTAATTATATTGTTGGTCCCTATTAATTCCCAACGTCTACATGACAGGATTTTCACTGGATGCAAACCCCCTTCAAAAACCTTTGCCTACCCCCCCCCCTTAAAATTTTTTACCCCCTTCGGTGGCGATGTCTCTTTATCATTATTTTCACCTATTTATTTATTGATACTCTTTTCAAAGAATTTATAAAGGATAACTTAAATTAATCTATTTCTACTACCAACTATCGATATTTTGTGAATATAAAGAATTTATTTTTTAGATAATAAATTCAATTGAAACCTCCATTATTTACAATGAATTAATTATTATGGCATTATGAGCTTGCTGATGTGTATTTTTTTACAATATATAGATTTGGTCGATGAATTATATTATAATAATACTATAATAAAAGTATTAATTTTTACAGCAATAAATTTTGTCCTATTTCATCTCTAAATTTAATAGATAACCCCCATTAAAGCATCTTACCCCCTACCCCCTCAAAAAACAGGATGCAAACTGTTCCTACCCCTCCCGCTCATGTAGACGCTGTTAATTCCAAAGGAAAAATATGTTTGGAATGATAAAGGATTTTCGGAAAACATAATGATGAATCAACCCCTCATTTGCAGTTGATGATTCAATTAAAAGGATTGGAAAAATCGGATTGAAAATATGATTTCCATCCTTAAAAAGAATCAAAACTTATTGTAAAAATAGGATGCGTTTTTTAATTATCACTGATATTAAAATATTTTTAATATAATAACTTACATAATTAATAAAAAAAATAAGATATTAAAATTTTATATATTTCAAGGCTTATATCATAACTAAACATAAGGGTTTCCACTAAATCTACCCTTTAAAAGTTATAAACCTTCCCTGGCAAGTGATTCCATGTCCTACTATTTTTTCAATATACCTTATTTCATCTTTATAATTTTAATGTTCAATTTGATTTCTTTTATAATTATCATTTGATTTTTCTGATTTTCTTCTTCATCTCCTATTTGTGCTCACTTAAAAATTTGGCCTGTATACCATTCTGTCCTGCCTGACTGATGTATATTCAAATTACGGGCTTTATTTAAATATATCTATTGGCTGACCAGGTAACGTTTATAACTAGTATTTTATAAAAATCATATGATATTTGATCAAACATTCATTGAGTTAAAAACAAAAAATGACAGTTTTATCAGAGACCAAAGGAGACAAAAATATATGGTTACTCATTTTACCATTTTTATTATACCTAATAATAGGGCAAATTTGTTATCTGAGGTACATGAACAATCTGGGCAAAGATTGCCGTCTGGAAAATCGATCTTGATTTTAGGTAATATTATCATCTAAATTAATATATTCATAAATAGGTGATGAGGGAGTTGGTAAAACCAGCTTAACGAGTAAAATAAAAAGAAATCCTGATGTTAATAAAGGTTATGCATTGGAATATTTGTCAATGGAGGTAAAGGATGAAGATAGAGAAGGTTTTAATATTAAAACAAAACAAGCATTTTTATTTGATTAGACTATACTCGATTAGGGATATGGATGGCAGATAGTAGATGTTATAGAATCCCTACATCTATTCGAAAAAGTATATTTTTGAATAATCACAATATTTTAAATAAATTAAAATGATAGCAAGAGATTTGGCCATCAATAATGAATTAAATCAAAATGTTTTGCCAAAATTATTAATAAATGCCCTGTCATCTAAGAACTTTTTGGATTCATTGGTCATCATTATGGTTTCTATATCTCAACCTTGGACATTAATTCAATCATTAAATAAATGGTTGGGACTTGTTAAAGATCACATTGATAAAAATTTGATATCAAATTCAAAAAATACAAAAGCAAATCTTCACTTAACAAACATGCCCAAAAATAAAAAGAATGTTGGGGAACATAATGAATTTCTATCTAATGATTTAGACATACCATTTATAACCCATCAAAAATATGAAATATATAAAGAAATCAGTAAGATACACTAGTATTATATAACTCCTATTATATTTTCAATATATAACAAGTGATTAAAAAGTTTTTGGCTTATTCTGAACGTGAAGAGCCTAAGCAACCAAATATAGACAAAGATAATATATCAACAGATTCACAATTATTGTCATTATTGTTGCAAGATGAAAATATACTCTCTAACAATCTAGGAATTCCACTTTTGATTGTGGTTACCAAGGTACATTTATATTATTTCATTTTGTCAATTTTTCTAAGTCTTAACAATGTATACGCAAAAATATTAAATAATTATTTCATCAATTATATGAAATAATTTGATTGTAAATGATAGTTTATTATGTTAATGTTAAAATTAAAGACTGATGTTATGAATGAATTGGGAAAAGAATATGATTTCAGAAATGAACATTTTGATTTTATTCAACAACACATACGCAAGATTTGTTTAACATGTAAATTAATAATTTATAATAAGAATAACCACAAAATTTAGTCAAGATTTCTTATATAAATTTTAAATTTGTATTATATATTGTCATTGTTTTTTAGATGGAGCTGGATTAATTTACACATCCTTTAAAGAGAACAAGAATTGTGACTTGCTCAGACAATACATATTACATTTGATGTACTCTTTTCCTTTCAAAAAGGGACCCATGATTATAGACAATGATTCCATATTCATGTATATATGAGCATAATTATATATTATATTTTTTTAAATTTTTCCTTTTCTTAGACAGGTTTTTTTAAAGAGTTATATAAAATATTATATTTAATAATTTTGATGCCATTGAATAATTATTATTTAACTCATAGATTGGTAAACTATTTTAAGTGAATTATTAATGGATGATAGATAAGGTCAAAAGATCTGCCTTTTTAGATATGTCTTGTCCCCACTTTTCAGGACAGCTTCTTTTTAAAGACTTAACAAAGGCTAGGATTTCATTTTAGTAGTATTTTTTTAAAACACATTAATTTAGTCCTATTGGATGGGATAGCACAAAGAAGATCGCTATACTGAATGAAGGTCTGATCAATATTATGCCTGACGCTAATTTCGAAGATATCTTGGGTAGCCCTCCATTCAAAAAAGTTTAATAATTATATATTTTTCTTAATATGAGTATTTTTCTGTTTATTATAAAGTAATTTTACTCGACGATACCTATTATATTTAAACATCGTTTCTGAAGAGAACGCCTCCTATAGTGTCTTCAGGGTTAAGCTGGAACGGACGTTTGATATTCTCTAATGAACACTCAACAGCTGCTCTTTATAACCACATTTAGAAAATGCTTTACTATATAAAACATGATTTACCTATAAATATTTTTTTATGAGCTGACAAAAGGGATTGTCTCTAAGATGAAGATTAGAGGCCTGCACGAGCTGTCCGAATGACATTGAGAATTTTTTTCTCGGGCAGTTCTACCCAAAGCCTGACCCGATAATTAAATATAAACATGTCAATAAGAATAACTGATATTGGTATGGCTTTTTAATATGTTCATTATTATATTTTATTATCCTTTTTTCAACATCAATTATGCAAATTGTTTTTATATAATCACAATAATTTTTAAATTCAATCGTATTTTAACTTTACTTTTTATATTTAAACTAAATAAAATACAACTCTATATGAAAATTAAATAAAATACAACTCTATATGATGAATATTGATTAGATCATGAGGGTTAAATACTTTTATTTAAGGTGGCAATATTTAAATAAATACACAAATTTTTTTATAGTATCATAGATATTTATAATATTTAAACATTATAAAAAAATTTTTAGTTGGGGTCGGGTTGGATCTAAAATGTATGCTCGGATTTGGGTCAGGCTTTGACAAATTTTTTTTAAATTCGGGCTCAGGCTGTGGAAAAATCATTTTGCAGGGCTTAAATGAAGATAGTTGATCAACCTTTTTTAAAATTTTTACGATGTTATAAAATGGCTTATTAATTTGTTTATATATTTTTTTTAGTTGTTTTTGATCACTTTTTAATTTTATATATGCAAGGCTGACAATAAAGAACCTGATATTTTGGCAGAAGATGAACAAGTCTTTTTATCACATATGCAAAATCTACTATCTCAACCTCTCAAAAATAGAAATGTGAGCGAAATTTTTTTTTTACAGAAGAATTTTTATGTTATAAAATTTATGGTTAATTTAAACCATGATTTTAATTAAGAAAATAGTAGGAGTAACAAGGAAAATCAAAATATATTTACAAAATTTAGGTATTATTCGATTTAAAAATTATGCCAATCCATAAATAGTTGTTCTTTCTTCTAGGAAATGTTATCCAATCGAACTTCATCTATAGTCGTTCAGAAAAACGCTCCTCGTTCCTCACCATATCATCAATCTCCAAATCAAATATTTAAAGTTAAATTATTATTTTTATTAAAGACTATTATTATTTCGTTAATAGAACGCCTTATATACCAATGATTAAATACAAATTAACTACTAGCACATATAATACTATTAAAATACGTAGGCTTAATGCTAATTAAATCTAGACTTGCTCAATTGGCACCCTCTTAACCTCCTTAGCTATATTGCATTAGATAATAATGATTTAAATATATTTATGGAAGTTAATATTAATTAAAGGTAAAATAATTAAAATAAGGAAAATTTTACATTTTTTTAAAAAATACTAAAAACATTTATTGCAATTTCTTATTTTTTTAAAAAAAAATTCCGTTTTTAAAAAATAAGAATGATATATTTGAATACATTCTTTTCAATAAAAGGATAAATCTATCAAAAATTACACTGATTCACCGAACTCCATGAACCAACCACAAAATTCGAACACATCCTCCATTTTAATCAATACCAGTACCCATAATACATCTATTGGTCTGGGTGGTCAATCTACGGAGAGCAATTCTGAAAGGGTTCTAACCGTATTTTTTAATAGCCTCCTGAATAAAGGAAAAACATCCACCTCCTCTTTGAATAGTCAGCTCATCAATAACCCATTACTTAATAATAGTACGATAGCTAGTACAAACAGCAATATAGGATTAGACGATAGTAACCAAAATTTGAGTAAGAGTGACTTTGATACTAATTCAGAAGACACGAATAGCGAAATCACTTTAAACAACGATAGTAAGAATCCCATTGATATAAACGAACAGAATATGTCCTTGAACGGTAAATCTTTAAATGATTTATATAATATACTATTATACTTATAGCAAAGATTTCTGCCTGGTAATAATTGTTAGTGGGGAAATTTTCTTTATTACCTTGCTAGATTGACTTTTAAATATTATAACATTAATTTTGAGAGGATTTTCTATAACTCAATAATCTATCTTAAAAACATTTTAAATAACTATACTATGGTAAAGAATAATTAAGTTTTTTGTTAAGCATTATGATAGGCATTTTTATTTAAGATATTCTTTTTTATAGATCATTTAAAATAAATATTAAGTTGTTTATTCATGCTAACTTAAATGGTGAGAAATGGTTTCTGATAAGATCTTTTGACCTTTAATTCATAATTTAGTAGTCCATAATTATTCTGTTTTTTTAGCCTAAAAATTTTTATTTTTATTTTTATATTGGATATATTCTTTTAAGAAATGGCGGAACACCTGAATAGAGTTTCGGCATCAACCCCTTTAAAATCCGATATGCATATCGACGATAAACAAAATATGTCTGAAAACCAATCATCCTTTATTGTTAACCAGAATCAATAATAATCTATAAAATATACTATATCATGATTTTTTTAAAGATCTTACATTCGATTTTAGTATTTATGTTAATCTATTTATTAATATAAGGCTTATTATTATATTATTTTTCTAAAATTAAATTATTTTTATAGCTAAGTTTTATTATAATAAATAATTATGCATATTATTAAATTTATTGAGATTAATTTACCCAATTTATCTTGCAGGAGTTTTTTTTAATACCACTAATAAGATTGTTTTCGGATTAAGTTCTATGATTATTTACATGATTAAATTGCAGACTGCTTACCTTTAATGAATATAAAGAAGAATAATGCTTAATTATTATAACTATCTGTTGCCCTATAATCATTGACATGAATTTCACAAGTTTCTGCTCTGAATCTTTGAGTCATTTTAATTTATATTAATATCAAATTTTAATTTATGTAAATTATTATTTAAAAGTACTATATGATTACTTCTGTTTATTTATATACTAAAAATATGATAATTATAATGAAATATAAATTATGATATGTTTAAAATTTACGACCATATACAAATCACAAAACATTAAAAATTATTTATTTAGTTGTTCGGATGAATATAACTTCATGACTATTTATTTTGTATGTTATGTAAGATCCAATCTACGTACATCGGAACGCGAGTATACACGCCAGGAAGCCTAAAATAAAATTTATATGATAAATCTTTGTTATAAGCGCAATCGTTATTTCTTATTAGACATATACACGGAAAGTACGGAATTTAAAAAACAACGAGCAGCTGGTGGCGGCTTACCAAATTTTACACCGCCATGGCAATTGGAGGGGAGATGCTAAATATTTTTTAAACTGAAAGATTATTAATTTATTGAAATCAACATCTTGGTAAAAAATTTATTATGCTAATTTGTATTCATATTTAAATTACTCAAATTATGATAGATTTTATTTGTTGACCCAAGCCCGCCCACCACCCGATTGCAATTTTTTTTAGATCTAACCACAGCCCGTTATGATTTGAACCCAGAATTTTAAAAAAAAGATTGTACAAAAAGAAACCTTAAACTAAATATACTTATTTTTATGTTATGTATTAAATTTAAATATTCAGCAATATCTTTGATAATTTAATAATTGTTTATAAGCCAATATCACTAAATATAAATTGAATAAAATGGATTGTATGAATGATATAAAATGGGAAAATATATTGAAGGAGCTTACCACCTGAAAAAGGGAAAAAAAATCCATTTTATTCTATTTATAACAAAATATTATAATAAAATATAGTAAATATTTCCCTCCTCCTAATTTTTTAATATAATTTTATAATTATGATATGCAATCAAGCAAAAAAGGGAGAATAGAAAGGAAATAAAATTTTCATATTTTAAGCCACAGGCCAGGTCTATATTGATGATATTACTGCTGAACCGACCCTGCAGGACTCTATTTTGGATATCATATTTTTACTTGGGTTCGGCGCAGAGGATTCCCCAGCTTACGATCCCTTGAATTTCCCACTGGCCTCTATCATTTTTGCATAATAATGGTCCACCGCTGTCTCCCTATTATGAACAAATTATTTAACATTTGTCAGAATTATCAAAAGTAAGTGTACAACTTTTTTAGTCATCAATATTTATTAGACTGAAAAGGGCACTATGCTTTGGAAAATGTCACTATGTGTTTGAAAAAAATATAAATTTAAAAGAAAATGATAATTATAGTAACGGGGAATGGATTGAAATACAAATGCTTCGACAAATTAGATATAAAAATTAGAAGTTGCAAAATATATATTTGTTATCACCAAATTTTTAATAGAAAATTATAAAAAAATTTATAAAGAAATGTTAAAAATATGTTAGGTAAAAGTTTAAATACAGGAGTATTTCCTATTTTTGGGTGAAATTTTTTCTGTTTCGTTTCAATAATATAAAAACAAGGATTAGTATAATTATAATAAACTTGACATGCATCTTTCTTGCCTTCTTCGTAGCCCGCGCATAACATAGTATCTTTAATCTCCGCCTCGGACTTTTTTAACCATTCATTGCAAACGTAATTGCTTAATATTGGGACTTTTACCTGACGTATTTGGTTGGAATATTGAAACGTATCTTGATTAAATATACGTTTCTATAGTTTTATAATTTTAATTTATAATATTTTTTAGAATTAACAAATTTATTACAAAATTCTCAATTTACAAAAATATTTCCCGGTTATTGGAACATATTTTATTATATGAATAAATTCCATATCATTGAATCAATCTGGATAAATAAAATATATTCTGTATCTATTAAGTATAAGTTATTTATAATGGTCAATATATTTTTTAAATATTATTAACTTACTATCATAATTGTGCAATATAATATATTATTTTTATATCTGCCAATTAATAAAATATAGTTGTTTAATTATGATATGAAGGGTGTTGGGGGGGGGGGTATGAAATTTATTTTGAACGATTAGATATTATTGATTTTTATATAACCCTTTCGCGTCCCACTTTTTTTCCCTAAAATCAAAAAAACTTATTTCGAGTATATCTATCAAAATTATTCAATGATTTTAATTATCATCAATAGGCAAAATGCAAGTTCATTTAAAAAATATTTTATTTCAAAATAAATAACTATTTCGTTTATTATTTAAGCATAAATAAGTATTTCATTTTTTGGCAAATAATTCTTGAATAGACTTTTACGCAATCTTTGCTAATTGGTTACGGGGATTGAGAAATGATCTAATTGGTCATATCTTATTTTAGATATTGGTGCAATATTGATAGCTTTTCTTCTTTTTATAACTATGCTGGAAGGTCTTTTGGTCCTAGTATTATCCTTTCCCGCTAACATCAACCCTTTTATTATCTGCTTTTTAAATACTAGCAGTTTCATAAATTTTAACATATTTAATGCGTTCATATGGCGTCTACAAGGTGACAGGCATTTATTACACAAGAATCCAATAAATGGAATTCTCATATCGTGAAGTTCTATTCCACCCATTCCCTCATTATAGTGTTTTGTGGGCATTTCTACATTTATAAAGACTTTATCCGAAACAGACCATCACAACTATAGTTGTAGGTAAAACACCTATAAATTTCGACTTTGTTGTCCTACCACTTGCAAATAATAATACCATTTTTTTCGCTTTTGTAATCTATAGCACCTCTTCCTTCTTCTTTTAAAGCCTTATCATTTTTAAATGTGCACACTGATAAGCGATTTAATCTTATCGTTACCGATACCAAATATTATTTTTTTTAAGAATCATATATAATTGGTAAGAAGAGAAAAAATTATCCATTTATAATTTGTGGTTTTTATTTGAAGATATTATTTCCGACAGGCGAAAAACCATATCCATTTTATGATATTAGTAGACTTTCCCTGGTATATCAAAATCATATATAAACCCGGAAAAGCCACATAAGGCAAATACTTTTATGCCCCATTTATGGGGCTTTTATTTAATGTGTTGTCGTAATTTAGAGCGTCCCTTGAAGGGAATTACGAATTCGCCTATAGCTAGCTTCTCTTCAGGTTGAATTTTTTTTAGTTGGCATAGGAAGGGTTGAATTTTGAATAATTTTTTGTGTCCTTTATCTTCCCTATTTACCATATCTTTGTTATTATTAATATGGAAAAATTTCCTGATCAAAAGGAAACAATTGCAGGACATAGTTCCGTTCCCTGTGGGATAAATGTTTCAACTAACCAATACTGTCGTATAGAAGGCATCTTTACTAAGCTAATATATAATTGTATTATAATAAATTGTTCAATTTCATCGCTGTCTGTATTTATAGATTTACCATAATATTAGAATGAATAAATATTTGTTTCCGATACAAAATTGCTAATTATCTGGTTGTCCAAGAATTTATGTAAATAGGTTAGAGAAGTTGAATCCTGTTCAGGAACTTCCAACATAGGAATAAACTCTGTATTCATGTTTCCGATGTCTTTTTTAGACCAAAGATGGTAATCTTTTATTTTAGTTATAGAAGTATCATCGATTATATCCTTCAATACAAGACCTAGTTCATTTGTAATATAAGATGATGCCTGCAAATAATAATTGTCTTCTTAGTCAGAGCTCTCTATATCAGCCATAGATATATCACCCTCGGGGATAAGTGTAATCATATCTAAATGCATATTGATATAAAAAGCATCTCATAATACTTGTTATTTATAAAAATATTTAATTTGATCCTCTTCCTATATCCACGAAAACTCCTTAATAGACATTAGATAATCAATATAGGTAACTATTATTAAAATCTATTCCCCCCTCCCTTCCCATTTTCATTTCCATAACCCTAAATCTAAATAACCTATGTAATTTACCTAAAATTTCCATTTATTCATACAAAATATTTTAGTGCATAAGAAATACCATTGATGCCAAATGGGATATGCTCAATTTACAGCACCTAAAATGATTAAATAATATTATATATATCTTCTTCTCCGTTTTATGGCGATTTCCAGGTTTACCCGGGTAGGCCAGTTTTCCCTCTGATTTTTCTTTTCCATTTTTGACGGTCATGAGTATCAATATTTGTAAGATTCATCTCATATCCGCCGCTATCACATTTGTCCACGTCATCTTGGGTCTTCCTCTAGGTCTTGATCCTCCTACTTCCATAATTATGCATTTCTTTACCCAGTCATCTTTTGTCATACGTTCCACATGCCCAAACCATCTTAGTCTATTTCGTCGCATTACCATTCTAATCATTTCTATACCCAATCTTGCTCGCAATTCCTTGGTAGTTTTTATCTCTCTCAGAGATACCCCACACATCCATCTAATCATCCTCATCTCTGTTCTTTCTAATATGGCTTCGTGAGTCGTTTTCATTGCCCATGTTTCGCCGCCATAAACTAAACAACTTCTCACACAGCTTACGTAAACTTTCCCCTTTAACTTCAGAGAAACTTTTTTATTTGTAAGAATAGATGACATCTCTCTGAACTTCTTCCAAGCTTGTCTGGTCCTTGCAACAATGGCAGAATCTACATCACCATCTGCGTTTAGCATATCACCTAAATAACAAAACTTATCAACTTTTTCTAGAGTTAACTTATTGCCAATATCCAGACCACCATTTTCTAGGTTATCATTATTATGTATCCCTTTCATGCATGTTCTACAAATATTCTTCCTAACATCAAACTTCCTTTTTTCCCGCTACATCTATTATGCACCCATTTCTGGCATCTGGTGCATTGGATAGAATTTCTAGCAACTCCTTTCCTACATACACCACAAGGCCACTTACCGGATTCCTCCATCTTTAGATTTTCCCCACCAATCATCACCTTTGTCTTTGATGCATTTATTTTCAGGCCCTTTGCTTCCATAGTCATCTTCCATTTACTAATTTTATCCCTCAATTCTTCCTCACTGTTTGCCATTAATACAAGAGCATCTGCATATAATAGCTCCCAGGGAAGTCCTTCACGCATTTCTTTAGCCACCACATCCATTACTAAGATAAATAATAATAGATTCAGCACGGATCCTTGATGAAGTCCTACCTTCACCTCAAAGCTGTCACTATCGCCATAATCCGTCCATACTGCTGTTTGTGCTCCAACATACATTGCCATCACTGCGATAACCAACCATTCCTCCACACCTCATTTTCTCAAGGCCCCTCTAGTAACCTCACGCGGCACCTTATCAAATGCTTTCTCAAAATCAACAAACTCATAATAGAGTTTCTTTTCCTTCGCAAGATACTTCTCCTGCATTTGTCTCACCACAAAAATTGCATCTGTCGTGCCTTTTCCCGATTTAAAACCAAACTGCATTTCATCAATTTTAATTTGTTCCCTTATCCGCTTCTCTAACACTCTCTCAAATACTTTTATTGCATGTTTTAAAAGTTTAATAGCTCTAATAAAAAAATAAAATTATATATATATTAATAATAAAATTATTACTTATATTTTTAACAAGTTTTGATAACCAGAAATATGAATATAAATTTTGGCGCGAAAATGGTATGAAAAAATTGATTTTTTATAACAATTTGATATATTAATAAATGAAACAAAACGAGTTAATGATAAAATACGAAACAGCAAATAATAAAATATGATTTCAGAAGTTATCAGTGACCATTTGCATAAAAATATTATTAAAAAAGTATGATTCCAAAAGTTATCCATGGGCGCGAAAGGGTTATAAATGCCTTGTTTAATTGAATAATATAAAAATTTGCATTAATTAATAAAACCAACCTTCCTCGTAAAACCATCAACGCTCTTTCTAATTATATAAATTCCATTTAAAATCATAATAATTCATGTTTTATAATTCTGAAAATTGTCAGATGAAAAAGTTTAAACTGTCCTAAAATCTATTTATTGAAATTTAAACAGTTTTTTATTTAATTTATTTTTTGGTATTTTAAAAACAGGTATAATTAAAAAAAATTAATAATCTTCAAATCTTTTTAGCCAATGATGTATGGCACAAATAGCTATATTGGGTTTAAATTCCCACCCTTTAATAATAGCTTAGAAATAAATTGAATAGAATAAGCCTCCCCAACATAATTAAATGTGAAATTCCTTTATGATTGATTTTACCTTTCGTTTTGGTTCTTCCCCATCCAACTACTTGGCAGAATGTTCCCTCTTCAGGGTAATATTTGAATTCTGGTAAGCATACGGGTTGGATCCTCGAATTAAAACGAATATCTTTGTCTAACTATATTAAAATTTTAAAACAATCAATAATAATTTTCCTGTTTTAAAAAAGAAATAACAACAAAACTTCTAATTTAAAGACAATCTCATAGATCGCCTTTAATATTCAAGTAATCCAGTATAGCCATAATAATAAGGTAATTCCGAATATTTATAATGGTTCGATCAAAAGTTGTTTTAAATTTTTTAATTTTATGAAAAGAATTAAACTTTCAATAATGCGATATCATTTTCGTTGATATTTTTAACGTATGCCTTGTGTTGTATAATTTTAATGACTCTAAAAGTTTGCCTATAATCGCTGTAAGCAGTGCGCCTATCGTCTCCTATTTTGATCAAAAAACGATCCATATTAGATTGGCTTTTCAAGTGTATTTATATTAGAATAAAATTGTAAGATTTATCGGAATGTTGTATTAAACTCATAGTAGATGAATGTAATAATGAATTTAAGCAAAATTTAATATTTTTTAGTTTATGTTTTTTCCCCTAAATAATATTAATAGTAACTGAATAGTGGTTGGTTTGAATTAATCATACATTTTTATAAAGTATAAAATAATTATACTTTCCAATACAATGATGAGCTGTTAGAATCCATCTCCTATGGATTATACTTCCGATACAAAAATAGACTTCTTTTTCTCCCCCGTATATGGAGGCTAACCAAGGCCAAGATCCTATGTTTGAAATTTTCCCCCCTATTATCCGAGATAATCTCATTTTCTTTAAAGGATTGTGCAAAATTTTCCCACAAACTTTAGTGATGAATTATTATAAATATATTTTGAAACTATAAGCGAGAATATCATGAAAATAGAACTTCCTACGACTAAAAAATTATCGTAATATTTTATACCAATCGAATTATTTAAATGGCAGGAATAACTGATAGATAAAGATCTGTACCGAGGTGCAGCAATTAACTAATTTTTATCTCACTGGGGGATAAAAATATCAGATCGCTGTTTTTGCTGAAAAAAATTCAATCTTGTTTTATTAACGGGGAGCATTTCACATCAAATATCAAATTGTTTCAGAAAAAATAAAAGATATAACCTAAGATGCCTGTTCCCACCAAAATATAGATATTATCAGTGTTATTTATATTTGAAAAAGGGATTTCTACTTTTATTAATTATGTTGTTACCTGTTATATGTACACGGCAATTATTAATTAATTATTGGAAAATAAAGGGTAAATATTTACAACATTATAAGTCAATTATTGTAGACTCACCGGGCTGTTTGCATTCAAACAAGTGCTCAGGTTTACCATTTTGACAAACTGTATGACTAAAAAAAATCGAATTTATTAAAAATATTATAGTGTAAATATTTTATTTATTCATGATATCTATTAGTGTTACTAAACGACTTGATTTAAGCCAATTTTTAAAAACGTTTAACTCAATATTTTAGGAGAAAAATATTGCCTAAGCCTTGAGATTTAGTTAATAGATGTTCAAACGTTTGTGCTACCTATGAGCAAAATCTTAAAGCTTTCGTAATATTTTTCTGGATAAAATATTAGTAGCTATTTAACAACCCTAATTCATATTCATGTTTAATCAACTTAAGGCTCAGAAAGTAAATGGATGATTTTAAAGTTTTCGATACATTTTCCTTCTAAATTATTATTAGGGGTTCTCTGAACTTAGCAGAATTAAAAATTGATATTTTAAAAAATCTTAGGAACTAAAAGAATGAAATAAAAATTGATAACAGAATTGATATCCTATAACTTGTATTTGATCTTATTTAAAAGAGTATTGATGTTGGGATCTTTGTTAAGTGTCAATCTAGGATAGGAATTTTTGGGAATACTAATGGAGGACATAGTTAGCAGGTTTCTCCACGTTGAGCCATAATATAAGGTTTTGCTTTTATAGAATAAATTTATTACGATTTAATTAATATACCAATTCAATATCCTTCAAATAACATCATTCATATCTATTTATATAATACGCTTGCTCATTTTTTTAATAAATATAATGCGATTATTTAATAATTTATAGTTTTATAACCTTAGTAATTTAAATTAAATCATTTTGGTTCATTACGTAGGAAATATTAGTCGTAGTCATTTGTCGTATTCAGTAGTCCTAGTCTTATACCCAAACTGGGATATGAATAAATTGAAACCCTTACTAAGAAAAACTTAGAATCGCTATTAGTCAGTCTTCCTAAGAAATTTTAACACTAACATCCTCTTTGTAAAATCAGTATTCACAGCCTGAGCCTTCACCCTTTAATTGTGGCTTTTCAAAAAGCAACTACCCAGACAACACAATTCCAAGAATTTGAACCACAGCGAACATCCCCTTTTCACCTGAACTCTCTAGCCTCAGACCACACAATCAGACCAGACCCGATAATATGACAATAATGCTTAAGATTACACTTGAATTGATCTTTTTGTCAGATCCCTTTCTACCAACTTCATAATAAGAGCAGAAAATTTAAAAACTAATAAATGCAACCACATAAACGATTTATTGATAGTTTCGATAGTCAGACACATGTGGTTCATTTGTGCCTAGAAGGACAAAAGTTCATTTAATAACTAGTGATCAAAAAGAGAGAATTTACGACAAACAGTGGCATAGGCAAGGAGACCCCCCCCCCAATATATTTAAAATTTTTTTTTTTTTAAATTACAACTATTTTTATGTTTTTAATTTATTATAAATAATAATTGATATACAGTATTTGATTATTTTTATATCTTTTTAAATAAATTATATGATATTGTATTTTCAGCACTGTAATTTTATATATCAAGCAAGGAAAAGGATTCAGCAGATGCTGAGAATCTTTTGCAGGCTGTTATTAAGCCACAATTTTTAATATCAATTTTTTATATTTTAATTATACATAGTTTTTATGCGATAAAATTTTTGATAAAATTTTTAATATTATAATCTATAAAATATCTACATTTTGAAATTTATTTTAAATAATAAAAACAAATACATGTTATTTATGCTAAAATATTTTTATATAATAAATAAAATCTATAATGAAATACTCTCTAAAATTTTGTTACATTAAATATTTAAAATAATTTTACATAACCTAAGATATAAGCAAGTGAGTGTTCATAAAAATGGGAGGTTTGGAATCCCCCCCTCATGAGAAAATCCTGGCTACGTCACTGATGACAAAGAATATATATATATCCATATATCGATATCTCTACTGATCTAACTGTATTTCTATACACAGGAGTTTGAGAAGCTTAAATATTTTAATTAGAGTTTGAATGGATGAATTCTATCTTAGGTTTAATCACCCTCAACTCAAAGGTCATCACTTTTGACAGAAGTGAGGTAACCCATTTATTTTGATAGCAAAGAAGGACTCGTATAGAGGTTCCTACTAAATTAAATAGAAAACCAAATTTAACACATTTTTTTAATGGGTAATAACAAATTCCTATTTATCTTGAAATCGATGAGCAGAACTACACAAAAGCAAAAGATAAACCCCCGTAAACTCGAGATATGAATGGAAGTTTTAGGAAATTAATAGCTCGAAAGAATTAGTTTGCAGGAATAACTGGGTAAGTGTTTGAATTTAAGAAGAAAAGGATCGAGCAGATGATTGGGATAGATTTGCGGAGAAATAAAAGGTGGTCCAATAATTTGAATCAACTGGCTATAGGATCCTTTGCTATTTTTGGTGATGAATAGATTTGCGTGGTCGGATGGATAGTTAATTATGGCGTTTGAGAGCTTAGTAGGATTAGTAAATGGTGAAGAAAAAACAAATTGACATAAATCAAAATAAGTAATATTTTTACTAAATTATTTTTACTTGAAACCCATCTCTAAGCATTTTTCATTGAAACTTGTGGTTATGTTATTATTGTAGTCGGTGCATACGAAGGATAGAGCTATTGATTCATCGTTGAATAAGATTTTTTCGTATAATAAAATTGAAGAATCGAAGGCATGTTTGAGATTATCTTCTAAAATTTTAGAGCATTTTAATCAACAAAAGTAAAGAAATGGTATATAGATCTTATTAGTTACATAGTGTCCTTATTCAAAAACAAAGTGACCTTTTTCAAAACATGGTTTTCTAATCGGATCTAATTAATATTGGAAAAGTGTATGATAAATTTTGAAAAGGGATGTGACAAAAAAGTTATAGGAAAAAAATAAATTATGTTTATACCTCTAACATTCCATGGAGCATTTAAAGAGTTAACTACATTATCGTATTCTAAGTTTTTCTTGTCATCATTCTCTGAAAGAGCTATATCGATATATTTTGTAGTGCAATTTTTTTCATCGCTCAAATCCTGACAATCCCGATTTCCATCACAAGCCCAACTTTTATTAATACAACGGTTAGTGTCGCAAACTAAACCCGTATCGCATTCTTTAAATGCCCACACAGTTATAAAATAAAAATACGTTACAGCTTTGGCTATAATCTCATGTTAACAAACAAGGATGACATAATATAAAGAGCAAAATCGTCTGAGAACTAAAAATTTAGGTGCCTTCAACTAGCATTTTACAATTTTCACTGTTTTAACATTATCATTGTAGCATCTTTTTAAAAAAAATCTCTCTTTCTTTCTTTCTTTCTTTCTTTCTTTCTTTCTTTCTTTCTTTCTTTCTTTCTTTCTTTCTTTCTTTCTTTCTTTCTTTCTTTCTTTCTTTCTTTCTTTCTTTCTTTCTTTCTTTCTTTCTTTCTTTCTTTCGTTCTTTAATTTTATTTGTTTAAACAAATTGTAAAAGATAATTCCTTTTTTAAATACTCAGATCTATTATATCGGGTCAAATCAAATCAAATTTATTTCTAAGAATAATAGTTCATATAGCACCTTCAGAAAAAAAAGAGTAATGATTGGCCCCATCTCATCCTATCCCATGCATTATTTTTTTTCATTCCATAAAACAATCTTAATTATTATAAGGAGCATATCACATTTATTAAAATTCAATCTATGGGTAAATGAATATATTATTTTATATATGTGACCTTCAAATTAAAAAAAAACTCAATATGAGATTTATATTGATCAATGACCATTATAAGTTTTTAGGAAAACATCTTTTTTGCAAATAAAAAAATTAACATTAAATAAAACCCAAATTATTATTCAGAAATCAAGGATGAAAGGTGTATGAATTATATATTAAGTCAATCTAGAATATATGAACAATTAATTAACTAGATAGTTTACCAATTTTTTGAATAAATAAAAATAATTGATATAACGATAATCCTGATGTTAATAAAAAATATTTAAATTTATTTAGAATATTTTTTAGCATAATATATATTTTTTTAAAAACACAATAAAATATCGATTAAATATCAAAACGGATCAATTAATTATTTTATCTATAACAAATATTTTTTTGATTAATGGCACGGAAGAATAAATGACAAATTTAAAATTAGTAAAACATTTTTTTTAGAATGCTCCGAATATGTTTAAATATAAAACTTTCAATTGGTATGTAAATACTTATATAAACAAATGTAATGTTAAAATGGTAATATAGCAATAATATAATATATCATTCTATAAAATATTCAGCTTATTAATACAATTAAAACGGTATATCCCGGGTAAAGGGGTGAGGTACCTTTTTTTTATTAATAATAACTAGAATGAATAGGAACACTACTATTATTTTATGATGCCAGCTTGTGAGTGAAAATGGTGGGGAGGGGGGGGGGGTAAAGTCATTTAAAATATTTTTTAATTATACTAACTTTTTTGCTGAAGTTGTTTAAGCTCACGTCCTCCAATGCACACATAGGAGTCCTGACTCTCTTTCAAAGTACTGCAATCAATGGGAACGGATGGAATATAAAACACGTCGAAAAAGAATGAACAATGTTGCATAACATCTAAGTGAAATTTTTAAAAGGAAACTAAATGTATAAAAAAAAATAAATAATAAATTATGTCGCTTTGCTTTCAATTATGCAATTCTCTCTTGACAATCTAAAGCAATAATTAGTTAGAGCTAAAAAATATTTATGATTATTAATATATAGGTCAACCTTCACATACGCTTCTACAAGGCATGATCGCTGCCCCGTCAGACCCACATCTTGGCACTAAAATCGAGCAAAAGAATAGAAATGCCATGGGGTGGCAACCCAAATTAAATACAGTGCTATAAATCTTTAGATTGTTCCAAATCTCGGTTTGAGTTCTGTGCCCAAACATATTAGGCATAACCGTTCCGTTGTATGGAAATATTAAGCAAGGTACAACCAACATTTGGGAGCAAGAAGGATGCGCTTTACTCATTAAGGCTTGTTTTAATAAGCCATGTAAGCTTTGCATTTTTTCTTTATTCTGTCCACCGCCAGTTACGTTAAAAAGAGATAATGTTCCGTTTAGGATATCAGAGTCTTTCTCTATTATTAAGACTTCTTTAGCTGACGATTCACTATTGTCATGGTCTCCATATGGAAAATTTTGATCTCCCACGAAATTCAAATTATCTTCCTCTCTCTTTGGGCCCTCAAATATGTGTGGTGTAGATAATAGAGTTCCATTCGAATTGGGGATATTATGAGCATGTGGAGGATATAGTGGATAATTATTAGGTAGATTAGGATTGATAAATATTGAATATTGCGAATGTTGAGGTCCTTTAAATTGGGCAAATAATGATGAAACACTACTGTTGCCAAAAGCAGATGACCAAGATGTTTCTAAGTCATTGAATAATGAGGTATGTGATGTGAGGTGTTGCAAAGATCGAAACTGAAAAACTAAATTGTTATAACAATTTATTATAATTTATTGGTGTTAAAAGAATATTAGCTTATATGATTATGTTGATCCTCTTTTTAAATATTTATTAAAATACGATATCAAGTGTACTTAGATTGGATAAAGTCCAAAAAATATTCGGACTGGGTCTAAAAATAATTTTTTGCAAAATCTGGGTCAAGCCCATTAAAAAAAATTTGGATGACAATTATTAATAGTTGGGAAATGCAGGGAAATAATATAATAATGGAGCATTTAATTTTCATTTACTGTTCATATTTCCAATTTTTTGAAATAATTTACAAATTTCCGTCAAAATTATTCAAAATAACGAAATTTTGAAGTTTTTAATCCGGTCTGCAAAAGAATCAAAAATAAAAATCCGAACTTAAAAATACCCCGGTCTCGATTTTTTATTTATAAAAATCCAGACCAGGCTCTATAATAAGTATACCTCTGTAGGTCTTTGAATTTGAATGGAAATCTATAATATATTATTAACCTGAAAAATATAACGAAAAGATGCATACGATACAAAAGAATATAGAGATCAGAGCTATCATCAAAATAAACATCTTATAAACCATGCGAGGATATTGATCAGGGTTTTCTTTTAAACGTTTATCTTTAAATCGATACGCCTTGGAATTGTGTAATGAGTTATAATTGCTGGACCCCGTTTTTGGTAATGGGTGATGCATAAATTCCTTATCTGAAAAATTTAGAGTGTCATCATATAAATTGCCATTTGACTGGACGTAAGCATTGTTTGGAGTCCTTTGAACAATTTCTTTAGAATTATAATGAGATTCTGGACAGCTAATTAGGTTACTACTAACCATATTAAAACGGGTGGTATCGATAAAATCTAGACTTCGATTCCGGATTTGAGTTGGATTTTTTTTACTGACGCGTAAATTGGAACTTATATTAGTAGCTGCTTTGCTTTGATTTTCATTATTTATCATGAATTTAATATTTTCAGGCTTATTATTACCTTTATTGTTAATAGGACCTATTGATTTCACTTGTCCATCAACTGTATTATATTTTTGGGGCAGACCATTCTTTAGATTTTTATTTTCCTTTAAACAAGAAAGCCTAAAAGCGTTTTTATCTTCGTAATAACTGTTATTCGCGACAATTCGCTTTTTTGGCATGTTATGCTTGATCGAGGTGTTTGTGCAAAAACCTTCCACGTTAATTCTATTATTAGCATCCTTATTGACACCATTGTTGTTTATGAACTCTGACGTGGGAAGAAGATCATGATCAAACGGAGTTACTGGACTTAGTGTGTATTCGTCTGTGCTATTTTCCTCCCCACTCACATCATTGTTGGTTTCAGCATTAGAGCTACTTAGTTTTGGGGAGGTTAGTAGAGTATATTTAAGATAATTCCTATATGCATAAGGATCAGATTTGTTATCTTCTATCTGTCCAGTCGACATATGCCTTTTGTAAAAGTCCTCTTACATAAGAAATATTTTTGAAATCATTATTGATGATATAATTTTAATGGTAAAGTGAGTAGTAATCTTTTATTTTAGAAAAAGGAGTTTTGACGAAAAAGATCTAATAAAAAATTAATTTCTATCAATTTTTACAAAAAAGAAGGTATAATTATTCACTTATATTTTATATCTTATCAAGACATTTTTAAAAAAATAAAAATATATGCTAGCCAGAATATTTTTAAAAAATGCATAATTAAAAAATTTCTCAAATGCTTGTTAAAAAACTACAAATTAATTGATTAAAAAAGGCTTCAAAATTCATTAAGCATTAAAATAATGGATTCAATATTAAAATTTATTTAATTTAAATATAAGTATGAAGAATTAATTGTAAAACTTGATTTAAAATTATTTTTTATGATAATTATAAAGAATATATATAGACATCACGCTATCTTAAAAACATTTTATAAATAATTTACTACCTTTTAACTATAATTTAAATTAATTTGGAATATTATAAATAAGAAACATTTCCTTATACTATTACTGTTTTAACTTCATTCTTATTAGATTTTGTAATTCTGGCATTTTATTTTAGATATCTAGAATGCATGTTATAACTTTCGATAAAACTTTTATCATAATTTCAATATTTTACTAGTTGAAGAATTGAATTGAATTGTTTATTCCGTGTATAATTTTGATGAATATAATTTGTCTAAGATGATAATTTAACCGAAACATGGTCAGATTCTTAAGAAATAAAAAAATTAAAATTAAAAAAAGTTAATTAAATTCAATTTTTAATTATCTATATTATCAGGATTTTTGGGGCTCCAATTCTAATCCCAATTTGAAAAAACTTTTATGGCAATTTATTATTACTTTAATAATATATTCTTTAAACTTGAAATATAAAAAAAATTAAATTTCCTATTTATAATTAACTTTATTAATTATTTTTGTATTAAAAGGATATTATAAATATCGATAAAAAAATTATTTTATTTCTCTATGACTATATACAATTTTATTTTATATATTTAATTATTATTTGATTTTGAATATAAATCATTCACTTCTATAATATAACTAATGCAGGCAAACGTTTATTCAATTTAAACCACTAGTGATTAATGATTAATGATATTGGGAAATTTTAGCGAAAATTTAAAATTTCCTGCATTAAAATATCAAAATGTTTTGTACTTTATCGAATCATTTATATAAAAAAGTTATTAAGCAACTAATAATTACTATAACATAACTTCCAAGATTAATTCTCTCGGTTGATTATCATTTAAAAAATATTTTAGCCTTGCAAATATAGTTGGGTAATTATAATTACTATATTAGCCTTTTAAGCGATTTTTTAACGGACTAAAATATCGGTTAAACCACGTTTTTAGAAACTATCATTTTGGGCTTGGGGATTTTCTTAAAAAGATAGCAGCTAAATATTGGAAAAAAACGAATATAAATTAAAACAATGATAACGGATTTTCCCATGCAGGCTCCTATGAGCCGAATTAGAAGACATTTAGCCATTACCCAATTTGCAAATGATGTGTAGGAAATCTAAAAAAGGATATTAGAAACAGAAAATCGAGAAATTTTTTTAAAAAAAGGATTTATTTTTTGGGTTTTAAAGATCTTTTACAAAATTCTATCACTATCTGGTGAAAGGTTAAATGATGTCTCTAACGTAATGTGCATTGGAAACATATTATATGCATCATAGTTTACTACTAGAATACGGTATAAAGCCTGCTTGCAACGTTCTAATTTTAAGTGGTTTTACTATTTCAGCGTTTTAATAATTTGGGTTCCAGAAATATTTTTATCTACATAATTTTTCTCGATTTATATAACATTTTACTAGAGTTTTAAATAAATGCCTGATTCCTTGAGAAACGGCATATAAATTTAAACAAAACTACCAAAAAAAACGAAACGAGCAATTCTAGATTAAGAAAAGAAAATAGTGACCAATTAACTGATGATTTTAAAAAATACTAGTAAAAATAAACGGTATAACTATTTGAATGAAATTATATAATCTTTTAATTTAATTGGGAACTCGTTAGGTGAATGTTCAAATATGCTTTATATTAAAATATTATTTTTTTATCTGACTCGATGTTGTATAATGTCCCCATTTCCTTGGATTACAGTTAGAACTCCATTTTCCATTGGTTTAGCTGATATGATATTATCTTCTGATACGTCTCATATCTTGAATTATTAGGCGCAATATTTCCAAAGACTGAAATATTTGGATTTATAAACCATTTTATCTTGAATATGGGAAGAATTGGATTTGATAAATTCTGAAAATTTGTTTTAAGATATCAATTCTGGGAAAATCTTTGAACTGTGTTATGATGCATTATCCTATGCGAATATAATGTTTGATTCCTAGGCAAAGCCAGGGAAGGCCAATGTGAAATTCGCCCCTCCTTTCAGAAAATGCTATTAAAAAATACCTCTTTAGCCCCCCCCCCCAACCCATGCCCCCCCCTGCAATGTATGCATATTAATGATCTGCATCGGGCCTAATTTTTCAAGTCTGGCCCGATCCCGAATATATTTTTTTTATTTGTCCAGAAAAGCCTGACCCGAAGTAAATATTATTTTTCCGCACGGCCAATTTATATAGAAAAATTTTATTTTTTTATTGTAGAAATTTTTTTACAATAAAAAATATTAGCCTCTTGTTTCTTGCAAGAATTTATAAATATATGAATTTATTTGACAAAATGTTATGATATCCTATATTTATAAATTTAAACCTAACCCGGCTCAAAATCTTTAATAAATATTAGGCCCGATTCAGCTCAAACCGAAATTATTTTTTAAATTTAGACCCGGCCCGGATCTATAATGCATATTACTTAGCAATAATTTGAAAAAAAATGTAAAGTTAATTAAATATTTAATGGTAATTAACATCAGTTAATTCTGAAATAATTAATGAAATATTAGATTTTAGACTGTATTTTGCATATAAACTTTGACATAGCTGCATTGAATATTTTGCTTTATAAAGTTTTCCTGTGAGGAGAGGCAAACATTGGTGAGATTTCAGATTTCGATCTGATCATAAATATCTGTATTTTATACTACTTCGTGAATTGCCCCATGGGAAATTTTACTTTCATTTTTATTAAATTCATAAAACCACTCCATAATTTTCTAATTCTATGAAATAATCTCAGAAATCTTCTTCTAATAAACATTAATAAAGATATATCTAACCTTATAATCAAATTTTCACATAAAGAATTTTCTACAAATTATACTGTCCCTAATAATAGCTCAACTTTAGCATTTGAGGGCAAAAAATTATCCATTATAACATGGGCATCACTAACCTTTTTTTTAAAGCTAACTTACCTTCTTTTTTAGTGGTATAAAAAAAATTCAAAATTTGGAGAAGGTTCTTCAAATTTTTCAGGGGACTCTAGTCCCTGCGCCCTTCCCCCCTAGTGACATTAATACATTCTAATCTATTTAAATTTCACCAAAACCAAGCCATCTTATTTTGTTATATGACATGTTTTAAAGATTCCACAAATCTATTAACTTCATCGTTCTATCTATCTTGAAAAAACATTAGTCATTTACGTATTTTACTAATAACCTTTTTATTTATACTATTTACTAAGAGGATTGAAGATTGGTTTTCAAAAGTTTGGCAAACTTTATACTTAGGATCGAATCTTGAAATGATTCAGATTCAAATTGAAAATAAACTCTATTATATTAGATTTAACTTTTAACTTCTATATCTATTAAATACAGAAAAGAACATCTATAAAGATCATGGAATCATAAAATTCCTTCAAAAATATAGGGGAAAAGAAACCTTAAAGTGTTGAGACGAATTGATTTTTGAATCGCAATTTAAAATCCGTTATTTAAGATCCAGCATAAAATATGCAAGTATATTTATTTATAATTGGTTTTAGTTTGTTGACTGGAAAAACTAATTAATGAATTAGTAAATATTAATCGGCATTACATATTATTGGCTTATATTCTGTGATTCTAAGATTTTCTTTCATGGAATTTTTTTTGCCAATAATGTTTCCTTTTTCTTTGGATCTTTCTTTCTTCTAGATAACTGGCTTGAGCATAAAATATACAACACGCAATAATTATTGAAATTTTACAGTCAATGCTTTGAAAAGTTTGGTTGACATTATGCTTAAGGAGTGATATCATAGTTTTTATCTAGCTTGTAATTCTATTACATTTTTGAATAAAAGAATAAAATGTACTAATAAAGCACTAGTTAATTGTTTGTTATAAGTTTCAGAACTAGTGCTTTCAAAAGCTTGACTAACCGCACGATTAGAGCGTGACATCATAGTTTTCATTTTAATTATAACTTGATTTCTTTTTTGGTTATTAAAATTGATTGAGGAACTAATAAGTAGAGTCAGGCACTAAATATTAGCGTAAATCAGACTTTTAGTTCTTTATATTTTCCATCTAAATACCAATTTTAGGAATTATATTTATTTCGCTAATAAATCTTCCTTTATACTACCTATCAAACGGATTCAAAAATTAATTAAGAACTAAATATTGCTAAAATTTTTAGAATAAATGTTTTTCAGTCGTTTTTAAAAGTAAACTGGCCAAAACTTTGTTGCTAATAATTTTTTCCTTTGTGGCTACTTTAAAAATTATTGCACTCATAGACATTAATAAAGCACATAGATTTTAAAATTGGTGTTACCAATTATTCAGGCTTTAACAGAGATGACATAAAAGTATTAAATATATTTAAAAAGGATAATAACAATAAACATGGGAAAATCAATAATATCAAATTGTAAAATTTTGTAGTGGGACCTGGCCGAAGGCCGAGCTGGTGGGGGTTCTAAAGATAAACCCTGAAAATTTTTCCATAACTTACCCTTGGATAAATCTTGGCTAGGTCACTGCAAGAAGACATTACTCTTTTCTGTCCTAGCTGTCTAGGTTTTCCACATCAAACATTCGGGAGGTAGAAATCTATAGTTGTTAATAACTCTTTGTAAGGCTCGAAGTTTCAACTTTTATTTAATAATTTACAAATAACGTTGCAGAATTCCAGCGCTTATCTTAATAAAAGTTTTTATTATAAGATCATCATATAGCAATGCTATAGCTAGAATACTAACATAAATTGCTTGTTTATTTACTAAAATTGTTGTGAGTAATTTCTCAGGACATTTCTCCTGTCCAACATAGAGCCGTTAAAATAAGATGTGGTTCTGCACAAAATGTAATATCATTTAAATCCGATTAACCGTTCATTTTTAATAGTTTATTTAAAAAAAGTCATTTTTTTTGGGAGTCAGCCGTACTATTATTAACTGAGATATCTTATTGATTGCATTAAAATAAAATCTTTTTACGAATTCCAATAATAAAAAAGAAATATGCATTTTACTAAATATAATAAATCTTAAAATGTGACCCCATTCGCCCCATTTTTGAAACTTATTTCTGTTTAGAACAGTGAATTAAGATTTGAACTTAGTCACCCTCCTATTCAATGCCATGTTTTCATTAATCTTTATATAGCTTCCTTAGATATATAAAGAAAGAGGTTATTTAAATCTATAAAACAAAACAGAATAAGGTGTCCTAATGTTTTAAAAATAAGACAAACGACGACATGACCTAAGAGTTGGTTTATACTTGTTTAACTATAAAAAAATTAGATAAATTTTATCTTATAGTTTAAAATACAGACTCTCCCGCTAAATTTTTTTATGAGACCTAAACCTAACTGGGTAGATAAATATTAAGCTTTTGTGGGTTCAGGGAAATCTTCCCTTCCGTGGCATCTATGAATATAATATATTTAAAGAAGATCAGAGTTTCCATATTTTTCAAATTATTTTATAGTGATAAAATCTTAAATTTATGTGTTTAGGAATGCTCTTTTCATCATCATTTTATTATTAAAAATTCACTTAACAATTGTTAAAACATTATTTTATTAATTTGAAAAAGACAAATAAGTCCGAATAATGATTTTTATTTTATCAACATATTTTAAAAAGTTTTAATCTATATTTTAAAAAGTTTTAATCTATATTTTAAAAATAAATAATTAAATATATTATTTTTCGTAATATTTTTTTTACTGTGTTTCGAATTGTTTTGATTTACCATCTAATTATTATCAGCTTTGTATCTAAATCCTTCTTCCTATAACATTCCGTTTTCAGATGAAAGTATTCAGATATTGGCATCATTTATAGTTTTATGAAATCTGATCCGGAGCAGCCTACTGAATTATTCATTAAAGGTATTAATAATAATAATGTTAGGGAAAAAATATTTTATATTATAGATTTTATTTTTGGATCAGGTATCATTAATAATATTATCTGAATTTTTTTAATTTTCATTTAAAAATGAATTAAAATAATGTTTTTGTTGTCACTATGCACAATGTATTATCAGAGTAATAAAATTAAAAAAAATATATATGTAATGTCATATATTTATAGATTATTAGGTACAAATTATAATTAATTATTTATAATTTTGGAAGATCCAAAAAAATTTATTGTGCTTTATTAAAAACTGAGGATTTAAAATTAATAATTTAATTTTTATAATATTCTTTATTTATATTAGTATGCAATTGAAATTTTTTCTTACCATAAATGCTAAACTTATAAAATATTGATGAATTTAAGTGTCATCATATAATGACAAATAATATAAATTAAAACAATAAAAAAAATGTATAAACAATAAAATTTGAGCCCTTACAATATGAGGTAAGAAACTAGTCAGATGTAATGTAATTTTTTTGAATGTAAGTAATCTAGATGGCTTCCATTGCTTCCTTTGTGCTCAAATTTAAAAAAAAAGAACCATATAAATAGAAATATGAAATTTGTAAAAGATTTTTTTTTAGGAAATTGAGGAAGAATCAAAACATTTTATAGAGCCCAAATAACATTATACCATTATTAATAATTTTTTTTGATATATTGATTATTTATTTTACAAAAAATTAATTATTCCATATAATTAAAATAAAATGCAAATGATATGCATAAAAGATTTATATTTATTGCGTTTATTCTTTGTAAAAATTATTTTAAAATTTATTAGACAAAGAGGGGGAGATATCAATTATCATGAAAAAATAATAATGGATTGGAGATAATAACTTTCAGTTACAATGTGTCTGAGAATGTAGTATATTTCACGTAAGTCTGATCAGAAAATTTTTTTCTTGCCCGGTCGAGTGTCAAGAGACCCAACCTTAACCTATTTTAATTTTTAAAGTTACAGAAATCCAATTCAGAATGACCGCACTCGAATTGTGTTGACAGGGCTTTAAGATAATCATTTAAAAATTAGAAAAATAATACATAAGAATATAGATCTCTGCATTTATGACCTTTTTATACCTTACTAACGTGCACAAATGAGGTTTTCTGTTTTGATGTAATTTTTAAATTTAAAAAAATATAATGCATCACTTGTTTAAATTGAGGTGGGGTTTTGATTTAACAAAAATAAGGAATAGATTAATTTGTAACAAAAAAAATGCGACACTTGAATTATAAAAAGTATTTAAAAAGGCAAGCCACTTTGCGCTTTTTAAAATGGTTTCTGGCGCCAAACATTAAATTCATTAATTTGTGCAACATTTGAAATGCATCTTTTACATTTGCAAGACAGCGTTTGACCCTGAATTCACAGTTAGAGCCAATTATACAAAATATAGTACTTTCGTATTTTCACGAGAATTATATATACTTCATCGTGAATTCGCGCTAACTGTGAATTCAAGGTGAAACGCTATTTGTGCGCTCTATTATTTAGCAATGTTTTTAAAATCTAAAGAACGGATATATAAAATCAAATCGATATCAAATTTACGTTTTAATAATTATTCTCTAATCATTTTATGGAATTAATCATAGTTCGAAAAAAAAATCTAGAAAGATTTTTTGAAGATTTATTCCCCAAATAATTTTGAGCAGAAAATCTTCAAAGATAACAAAAGTGATATATTTTTTTTAAAGAAGGTCAAAAAATAAATTTTTATGCATAATAATCACAAAATATTTTTATTAAAGATTTTTCCATAAAAGATTTAGAATTTTAAGTAGAATTTGACCAACAATTCTGTTTGAAGAAGTGTTGTTAAATGGCCCTATTTGGGTCGATTTATTAAAAACGGTCCTGCCTCAAAGTTATCTTCTATGTTTATCTCTATTGTGGAATTTTAAAAGCAGATATTGAAAGTCCAATTTAATTCTTTTTTTATTTAAAATTATATTTTCATTTAAATTCCTTTAATTAAAATTTGTGAATTGCAAAATTTTTTATATAATAAAAAAAATTATATTAGAAATGATGAGTTATATAAATATAAAATAATTTTCAATTTAGTTACTTTGAAATGTAACTGTTAGTTACCTTTTGTTAAAGTAACTTATTTTGCCTCTCTATAAATTTACTTGTAACTATTACTAGTTACTTTTCATAAATAACTTTTAAATAGCATTAATTATCTATAACGTAGCTTAATTTCACTTATTAAACCTGGATATTTTTCAAATAAAATGAAGTTTTCTGATGTAAATTTCTTTTCTTCCCGGTCTTCTATATATAATTTTTGGAATAGAATTTCTAATTTTATAAATGCTAGCAGCAGTATGTTTTTACCGACATGTTATTTTTCAACTTTAAATCATATTTTGAGCTCGTTTTTTTTTAATTTAAAAATCTTATTTTACCGGAAATGCATTCCAGCATGTTAAGAACACCTATACTAAAAATTGTATACAATATTGAAGTTAGCATTTGAATCAATAATTTATATAAAAAATTTATTGAAACTAATATAAATTATATTAAGTCCAAAAGTACGAAATTCATGGGGTAGGTATTCTAAATATGATGGAATAAATTTCCGGTAAAATCAGATTTTTAAATTTAAAAAAAAGAGCTCAAAAAATGATTTAAAATTTCAAAAATACACATTTCCGGAAAAGAACACAAACATATATAAAAATCCCAAATTAAGTCATTTATAAATAAAAATTTATAAGTCCAAAGAATTTTCACTTTAAAATTTGCCAAAAAATATCCTGCCTACTCAGGATCAAGGTTATATTATTTATCGTATTTTAAATATACATCGTAGTAATGTATTTGTAAATGCAGTAAAACTTTCTTAAGATATGACTATGCTATTAGTAAATTCTTTATAAATTTATTTTAAAAAAGTTTTCAAATATTATTAACATAAACTTTTAATTTGCTTAAACCTAATCAAATTTTTGAGAGTAACATTTTGAAATTAAATCCTTAAGATATGTATAAGAGCATTTTAAAACCATTGAAGTTTGGTGGCAAACTTTGTAATGAAGCGAATTCTTATCCAAAATTCACATATGCTAAAAGTATAATATTAACAAGTGCAGAGGAGGGGTATACAGAATAATATAAAAATATTTCCACATTATTTATTGCATTATTTATATAAGAAACTTTGTTAGAACATTGATATAGACCTAGAAATGATAAAAAAACATAATATTATATTACTATTTTAATATTATTCAGCTTCATTTTTTTATATGCCAAAAAAATAGATTAATATTCGAAGAATAAAAAATGAATCGGGTAAGAATTTAAAGAATTATTATTTCATAGAATTTAAAAATTTCCAATATGTTAAAAATATGAATGAATAAATGGTACAGTGATGGATGGGGCACTAGAACTAACTTTGGAAAAAAATACATTACTAAATAAAAAAAATTATCGAAAAATAAGCATATATAAAAATCTTTAAAAAATATATCATAATTCATTCCATAAAAAAAAAAAATTTTTTTTGAAAATTAATATAGACAATATGTTACCTTAGATCTTAAAATAATAAAACTTGAATAATAAACGAATTACAAATTTTTATCACAACGCATAAGAAAACCTACAGGTTAAAACAATTAAATCCCAAGGATAAAAATATAATAAAATAAAATTATGAAAAAATTTTTTTTGTAAATAGTTAAGAAATATTTAAAAAAAAAACATACCGCTTGTTTTTAAAAGAAAAGATAATTCCAAATAAAAGTCCCTTATTTTTTTTTATGTGGGATTTAACATATTTTATATGCCCGGTCTCAAGGCAGGATTTAACTATGGATCAAGGAGACTTATGTATGAATAATGAGAAGGTGCCTTATGAACAAAAAAAAATTCTCCTCAAAAAATTGTATCCAAAATTAATTAATATATCTTATTGGTGGTTTTGTAACAGAGTAAAAAATTTATTTAGAAAGACTCAAGTGTATACTTATCCTCATATTTTTTCAAATTCGAGCATATGTTATAGTATCCCCTCAATAAATTAACATATTTAATAGCAATACAATATTTGTCATATAATATGTAGGATAAAAAATTTAATATGATGAATAGATGTCTTATTTTTCAATAACCAGGATATTTTGGTGTTATAAATTATTTTGTTGCTTTCGTTTCAATATATATTATCTACTGGTAATTTTTTTGGAATGATTATTTTATATAAAATATTTAATTAAGTTTTTAATCTTATAAATATTGTGGCATTATTTAATTAAGTATATTATGTTCATATTTTAAAGTTTAATTTGAATATAAGATAATACTTATAATGTAGAAGACTGAAATGGAAAATATTTATGAATTAATTAATATGGTTTACATATTTTTTGGTGGCAAAAAAAGGACGGTGAAAAAAATACTCAACCAAAAAAGGCTATATAAAAAAAATATCAAGGTTAAAAAAATTGCTGAAGAAATATTTCAAAGGAAAAAAAATCTGTAAGAATTAAAGGGGATGGAAAATTGGTCACAAGCGCTTAACAAATTTATTGAAGCCCGATCCGATGTAGGCCGAGCTATTCGGACAATAAATTTAATATCGAACAGTGCTCGCGCTTAATTTTTTCAAAAATATATTAGAAAAAATAAAATTGAAAAGAATATTTTAGCATTTTTTTGAAAAAAATGATAGCTAGAACTTCTCTATTGGATAAAGAAAGCAATTAGTGATTTATATTCTATTTAACCCCTGCCATATGACCCACGTTTTCAAAAAATATTCATGTTGAATAAATCATTGCCTATAGTGGATAACGCAATAATAAATTTCTAAAACACCATAGAGAAATGTATTCAACAAACTTCGGAAGATATAAAAAAATTAATTAATATTTTAAAAGGAAATTTTGATTAATTTCTATAAATATTATGTTGGTGGAGATAATAGACATTAAAGATGTGGCTCGA